CCCGCGCGCGCAGTGCCACTGACTGAAATGTCTCTACGCCATTCCCAAAGGGCCGATATTAAAATGTTCCTATGCACAGTAGAATTGTAAACGGGCTGATTTATCAATGTCAAGCTCATACTGTGCCGGAACAACATAGGGGGAACTGCTTATTTTCCTTCATCATCCTTGCTATCGTCATTTTCCTCTACTTCTGTTGTATGTTGTATTCCTAGCACAACTATTGTTGTCTCTAAATGTCACCCTCTTGTGAACTGCTATTATTTCCGGGGTGCCAAGATAGTCGAAGCAGACTTTTTGCTGTTGAGGCTAGAGGGGTGAACAGAGTAAGTCTGATTCCCCGTTTGGACTTCTCTGTTGACATCCACCTCTTGGTGCTCATATTCATATGACCTTATGTAGCTACGAGCGCCGTAAAACTTTACTTAAAAAAAGAAAACTTCAGTTTGGAATGTTCCTTTAAATTTTTTAACGAAGGTGTTTTTATGCCCCCTTCAACACAATTCAGACCATTTAGAAGCCGGGTTTCTGACCCTGCCTGTCAGGGCAAACCCATGCTTGGAGGGAATTGCCATCCCCTACAGACAAAAATACTAGATATCATTTTTCTCCCCACTCAGGAATCGAACTCGCGTCTTAGTTTTAGTAAGAGTTTTACGGCACTTGCAACAACACAAAAAGGTCATTAAAGAGCCGAAGAGTAGAGGGGTTACAAGAGAGTAACAAACACAAAAAAAGGAGGAAAGATCAGAACGATAGATGTTTGATAGGAAAGAAGAAGCAAACCACACCAGAGCATCCACCAATCACCCACAAACTCGGGTCTCCTGCGTACAACAGTGAAGAGCCTTAACACTACACCACATGCATTAGTTTAATTTTTATTCAGTCCATCGTAATCTAAACATGAGAAAGAAGAATTTAAGTGGCAGAGGACCAAAAAAAAAGGCAGAGGAGAGATAAAGGTGATAGGAAAAAAAGTAGCTAACAACACCAGAACGCCTGCAAACCACCCACAAAATGGAAGCTGACAACAAACAATAGAAAAGAAACAACGTCAGAAAACGATTGATGAAACAACTCATATTGTTTATTACACTTCTTTCAACAGTTTTTTTTACATGTACAGTACTTTCAACAAAGTCATCAATACTCAACACAGAACATGAAGCAAAACCCCTGGACTTGCACAAGACACACAGACAGACATAGACCAACCACAAGACACACAGACAGACATAGACCAACCACAAGACACACAGACAGACAGACACAACCAACCACAAGACACACAGACAGACAGACATCATAGACCAACCAAAAGACACACAGACAGACAGACACAACCAACCACAAGACACACAGACAGACAGACATCATAGACCAACCAAAAGACACACAGACATGCAAAGCCAAATAAATGTGCGACATCACGGTGACATTAGGTGCTCGTCAAAATAATTAAATCCAAAGAAACTAGGCATTATTTCCAACCGTTGAGCAATTTTTTTATCTAATTTCTTTTCAGCTCATTACCTTTGATGTCCATTTAAAAACACATTTACAAGTGAATTTTATGGAAAAACATCGATCAAAGACACAAGAATGTATCAGTCAATTTGCAGTTACTAAGACCACTCACTCAAACTGTGGAAGTCCCCATACTTTGGTGGATATTTTCTCGCAAATTTTACCTTTGACACAAAGGTAACCCCCAATTCCTTCATTCGCAAATATCTCGGCATCTATTCAAGATGAAGAGGTAATTTTCTTCTTTTTTTTTTTCATTAAAGGCAAGGCAAATAAACAAGCGTTCTGATGATACCAACACCTCCATATGTCAACAATTGACGAGCGCCTGATTCCGCCCTGTCACGACACAGACCAGACTCAAAACACACAAAAAACGCAGACAGATAAATACAGTGCAGCCTCTCTATAACCATATTGTCGGGACCAGAAAAAGTGTCATTATAGAGAGGTGTCGTTATAGAGAGTTGTCGTTATAGAGAGTTGTCGTTATATCGTTATAGAGAGTTGTCGTTATAGAGAGTTGTCGTTATAGAGAGTTGTCGTTATAGAGAGTTGTCCAAGAGAGTTATCGTTATAGAGAGGCAACCAGAAATTACTAATGATATATAAGGAGAAAATCGGGACCTGGGCATCATGTTGTCATACAGAGGATGTCGCTACAGCGAAGGTCGTTATAGAAAGGCTGCACTGTAGACTCAACCACAAATACATGAAATATTTACTCTGGACATTACCACATATCTAACTATCAACAATCATAAGTGAACCTTGATTCACACTAAATGATCAATCCCCCCTGGAGAAAGCATACAGCACGTACATACTGCTGACAAAATATATATATACAAGAATAAAAATCATCTCTGGACAGACAGGCAGACAGACAGACACATGGACCAACCACAAGCACATGAAATATTTACACTGGACATCTTCACACACACACACAGATGTCTATTTTTACCCATGATCTCCCAGACCGTAGCGCCACACTTGTGATAAGACCAGCTACTACCACTAGACAAAATATCCATTTTTGTTGCTTTTTTTTTATTTCATGGACTCATAATAAATTTGAGGCATGCTGACAAAATGAGTCACTTCTCGCAATCCAGAAAAGGAAAAAAGGGCAGAAAATCAACACAAACTTCAAATTTGTGGATTTTCAACAGATGCTAGTTTCTTCCTAGTTTGAGTTTAACATGTCTTTTATTATTTCATATAATAAATTGCACAAACCCAATCTACAAATCTGATGTATCTATCCGTGTCCATAGGGCACACTCATTTTGTCAGCACGCCTCACAAATTATCTATTTTATACGTTCAGTCAAAGACAGGTTTGAATTTTGACTGGAAATGCCCCCAAAACGTTAGCAATTTAGCTAAACAATCTGCCAGCTGCCAGGTCGCTGCATGATGAAACTAAATAAAATTTTGGTTGTTTGTTAAGTTCGCTGTTTTTTGGGGGGTTTTTTGTTGTTGTTGTTTTGTTTTTTTTTGGGGGGGGGGGGTTTTGTCCTGGGTCCTGATTTTGGAGCCGACATTTGCAAATTAGATAAAAATGTGTGAGGCAGCGTGGTGGAATCAGGCTCTCATCAAAATAATTAGAGTGAAGAAACTTGCATTTTTCCGCAGGATTGTGAATTTTTATCAAATTTTTATTTTTTGGCTCAACACCTTTCACTCCCATTAAAGAACTCATTTCTGTTTGGATTTTTCTGAAAAACGGTGATTAAAGGCACAAAAAATGTAAATTTTCAATTATCACGGACTCTTAAGCTAAGGAAATAACTAATCTTTGGCGGCCATTTTCTCACTAATTTTACCTCTGAAAACAAGTGACCCCCACCTCC